TTCAACAAACCAAATTCATTTGGGTGGTGAAAATTACATTTTTAACAAGCTTAAATATGTGAGTTTAAATTCTGAATTTGATTTTATGAGAAATTTGGAGTGGGTGTTATTTAGGCTTGTTAGAAATAGTATAAGGAGGTTGTATATAAAATTTGAAGTCATTTAATGGAGATTTGGACTGGTTTTGAACAAGAATTGCAACTGAAAATCGTGGAAGAAGTTCGTCTACAGACGCTTGTATAAAGGTGTATAAAAGTGTATAATAGTGTATAAGGTGTGTTTCTACACTCATATACACTATTATACAAGATTATACATAATTATACAAAAAGCTGACTTCGTCTTCTTCCTTGCGTCTTTTCTAAAATTTAACTCAAATCTTGCTCAAATCTACTCCAAATCACTTCAAATTTAAAATTTGAACTCCTTTTGATATTTTCAATCAATTGGAACAACACCCAATCCAAACAACTAACAAATTCAAAAAAAACCATTTTCAAAAGCAAAGCTTTGAATGGTCTCCAATGGTGGACTTCTGCTCTTCAATTTTCTTGCATTGCAAGCAGGTGACACAAGAGGAGAAGCAGAAAATACACGGTTCCTTGAAGAATATGTAGAAGATGTGAGAAAAAGAAAGAGTGAAAGCAATGGTTGTGAGAACATAGATTTAACTCCATAACTTTTAGAAGCAATGGTTGTAAGAACACAAATTTTGAATTTACTAGTGTTTTCAAAAGCACAATATTTCCAACTAAAATCAATAAAAATAGGACGAAGGGAGTAATAACAATTGACACTCTAATTTTAAGCAATTGTAATTGAAAAACACGAACACCAAAGAAGAAGCTTTTAGAAGACCTCTTCCTGGAGAGGATATGTAACCGCTACATAGATATGGAAAGGTCATAATGCTTAAGAATTTAAATTACCGTTTCAGTTTTCAAAACATGTATAACGTGGGCTAGGTGGAGTAAAACTTAAAAATATGGGCCATTTTTTGTTATGGTGTGAAGTCATGTGTATTTTCTTGTAATTCTTTCAATAATTTACAACTTGTGTACTTAAATATGCCATAAGACTTATATGACAAAAAAATTTACAATTAAATTGTACCTGTTATGAAATAATAAAAGAAGAAGAAGAAGAATATTGCAGAGAAAAGTAGGTAGAGAGAATTCTTATTGATATGGGATGAATTACAATGGAATAGAACCCTCTATTTATAGGGAGAGGGTGACTTAGCCACCAAGCAATGAACCCTAGAATCTCTCTAAATATAGACATTCACCATAAATACAATTCTATTTATAACACTCCCCCTTGAATGTCTATTCAACAGATAATGTGCCTCGTTAAAACCTTAATTAAAATAAAACCCAATGGGAAAAAATTCTAGAAAAGGAAAAAGAGTACACATATCTAACAATACGCCTTTTGGTTGCCTCGTTAAAAACCTTGCAAGGAAAACCCAGTGGGACAAAACCTTGTAAGAAAAAAAGAGCACAACGCGTATTAACTCCCTCTCATGAGAGCATCACTTCACATCCTTAAGTATTTGCATTCCAATCTTGTGCACCATCTTCAAAAGATCTTTGGTAGATATTTGATAAACAAATCAGCCATATTAACTTGAATGAATATATTGCACCTTGAAATCATCATTCTTGATAGAGATGGATTATCTTCATATGATCTTGTTGTAACCGTCAGTTCAATATCTTCACATAGAGGTGAAAACTCTTGGTATCATATTATCATGCCTATAGTTATAACAAGATACATTTGTGCACAAATTGCACTGAGGAAGTAGTACTTCAAGATCAAGAATTGTATATGCTTCAAGCGATTTAAATCCTTCAAGGATTGTTAAGTCATATAAGCCATATAATAGACTTTAGATGCATATCAAGTTTTCATGTCATGCTAGACATATAAGATATCGAAAACTGAATGCACATACCATTGACTTTATACTTTCAAGTGTTTGAACTACATGTTCAAAACTACATGTCTTTCATATGAAACCAATTCTATTCGAAATTGTTTCTCTAGACTTAAGATCCTCATATATATTTAGCGCTATTATAGATGTCGTCGACAAACATTTTATATCGGTTCCAACCTCCTTATTTTTCATAAAGACATAACATAAAGATCTCTTCATTCATATTTTCAGGTACCTGAATCTCTCCTGAGATTTTATGAAGTGTTATGTCATGTGATCTTCTAGATCACTTGTCTCCTTTATTATGATCATTTAGATCATTTGCTCATCTTCTTTATCAAGAAGTTTATTTGAAACCGATTTGTCTATACGCTTTAAGCGTACTATAGACTTTGTCCTTCTAGGACTTATTCTAATAGGAGCATTTGCAATGAGAATATAGTTACTTTCTTTGGGCCAGCAAATGCGTCTGGCATGCTTTGCAATATATTGCACATGAATTATCTTTTTATGAACTTCAAGTTCATATTATATTATTCGAGGATCTAGATGTACAAATGATAATTCATTCCACGTAATTTTTTCTCAACTGTTTATCATGTCTCCTCCTCATGTTAGAAAAACTAACTTGTTTCCTCAACATTAAGAACTCATCTTTTTGCGTTATGGTATTAATCAAAATATACCCCGCACATCAATGATAATAAGATGGAATTATTTGGTTCCTGACCCTGAACCACTTGTGAGGGGAGAAAATAATATACTTTCGTATATAACGTATATCAAACTGATATAGATAACTTTGTTCTCATAAGCAATTGTTTAGCTATTAAGCAGAGGCACTTAATAAATCATTTTGCTAAACCAACTGTGATGTAAACCAACTTATCAAGATGAACTTCTTGAATAGAAAATCTGGAAATTATGCTCGAAATTAAATTATTGAGCAAGTACCTCGCAAACACCATGTTGCGGGTTAATAATAATCGCACATGTAACCATCTCATAGATGCATCTTATGTGGTATACATGGCAGGTGAATGGGCCCATATTCACCTTTGATATTTCCAGCATTCATGGGATTCAATCCCAATTTTAGTTGGTCAATTAATTAATGAGAACACGCATTATAAGAGAATTCGTAAAGAACTTTCTAGTTCTTTAATATATACCTATGTGAATTCTCTTTTATTTTTGCACATCATGCTTAAATTAACATGGCTAAACCAATTATGCCAACTGAATAAATTATCAATATTGATAAAGTTCAGGTTTACACCATGACGTGTGCAATTATCAATAAACTCCAAGTTTATTATGATATGGGTTTTTATATCAATAAACATCCACTTTATTGTGGTATTCTTTTATTTGTGTAGTACAAACTGGAGAATAAAGCGGGTAGCTTTTCACATACATATTACCCAGCTACATGTTGTAGTAATAGAAGATATTAAATCTTTCATTTATTTATAGTCTCAATATAATCAACCGCTTTCGCGTATACTTTGGAAACTGAATAAGTTTCTTTGAGACTTACTATAACACAATACCTTATTGGTAATTAATTGTGTTTCTCCAAAATAGTATAATTGGCTCTTGCAGAGTTCTCAATTAATTTTGTAGTACCACATATTCATCAACACCCATATGGTGAATATCTCTTTTAAAGAGAAAGTTATACCATTATGGTTATGGTCAAAATTATATGCAAGATCTATTTCTTGCATTACCATTGTCTTTTAACAATCACAATGCCAAAATATTTTGGCGTACAATAGGTATGTGACCAATGACCATCCATGCCATAATAATGACATTATTTTCTTATATCATCTCAAACCTCCTTCTAGAGGTGAGTGTGGTATATTCACTACCACTAGCACGTTCATATTCTTCCAAGAATGAATATGTATTATAAATCAGATGTTGTCACATTCACATCATGAATTGACCATAATCATCTATATGTGCTTTATAAAATCTCATGTCAAATCGATGACAAATACTTTCACAAAGTGGGGGATTATTTTGAGAATCCTTATTATTCTCATTATCACAATGATGACAATTATAATTTCATCTATTGCCACGTCCACATCCATTGATACATTCATAGTGATAATTTTGTCTTCTTTCAGACTTATCACATACTGCTATCACATTCTCTTAAGGGAATGAGAATGGAGCAAATTCAATGGGACGGGTTTCCACTTTTTGTGCCCATAATCATACATGAATTTGATCATGGCAAGACATAGAAATTTTTACCACTTCAGGTGGTTATAATTTTTTACAAACTCCATTAGAGTTATAATCAAACTTTGTTGTCTTTGCTTGTATATAAAATCAAATTATAGAATTGCAAGAATTTAAAAGAGAAAAATAAAGTAAATTACTTACCTGAAATCCAGAATTAATCATGAAGAAAGTTCATGGAATAATTGACAATCATTATGCTCAATCCCAAAACTTCTACTCTATTTGTTAGAGCCTCGTGCTGATAACGTGTTATGAAATAATAAAAGAAGAAGAAGAGTATTGCAGAGAAAAGTAGGTAGAGAGAATTCTTATTGATATGGGATGAATTACAATGGAATAGAACCCTCTATTTATAGGGAGAGGGTGACTTAGCCACCAAGAAATGAACCCTAGAATCTCTCTAAATATAGACATTCACCATAAATACAATTCTATTTATAACAGTATCTAAATATAAAAATATAACATTTTTTGGGATCGGACTAATAAAAAATATAATGCCACGTAAAATAGAAGTAATGGAGTAATTGGTTAAAAATTTATTAAATCACTTTATTAAATAGTCGCCCTTATATAATCAAAAGTAAGTAAAAGTTTTTCGTATTAAATTTCAATTATCTAGTTATCTGGAATAAAGGAGTAACTTATATCAGAAAAACTAGAATGATTGACATTATGTAGCACGAACCTTTATTGAAATCATAAAACTTGTTGAGCTGATTTGACTGAAAGGAATAGTCAACGATTTAAGGACAGAAACGTCAATTAGCCCATATTGAAGCAGCCTTCATATACAAACGCAATCTGAGTTTGTCGGAGACGGAGAGAGAAAAAAAAAGAAGCCGACGACGGGAGATGGCCGGAAGAAGAGCGATGATGCAATGGTTTGCGCTCACAGTAACAATAGTGCTCTCCCTTCTGATTCAGCCTTCTTCCTCCATTTACTGTGATGAAGATGACTGTTACGATCTCCTTGGGTAATCAAATCTCCCAATACACTATATATCCCTTTTAAATTCATTTTCTTCATTATTTTTTCACTTATTTATTTATTTATTTTTTAAATTTTGATAGGGTGACTCAGAATGCGAATGCTTCTGAAATCAAGAAAGCTTATTACAAGCTCTCTCTGAAACAGTAATTTTTTTCTTTCTCCTATTTCTGTTGATCTCTTATCATTTTTTTGGTTAATTTGGAAGTTGTTGATAATTTTGTTGTTTAGTCATCCAGATAAAAACCCCGATCCAGATTCAAAGAAGTTTTTTGTCAAAATTGCAAATGCTTATGAGGTAATCAATATTCTGGTTACAATCTATTTTTCAGGTTTTTGTTTTCTTTTTTCTTGTTTTGCTTCAGTAATTTTCTTGGCATCAGTTAGCACATCATATTATGGTTTCAGTTATATGTATATGTTAAAAAAGAAACGCCAATTCAAAAGCCAGCACAGCCTCCAATGAATCAAAAAAAGAGAGGAAAGAATTAGTGGAAGTGGCATAACTGGAGTGAATTTGGGTGTCAATCCTAATGGAGTGTTAATTTCATACTGTGTAGAAAAATGAACTTTCTTGTGGCCCTTGGTCAGCACATTGTGTTTTCATTAAGTGAGATGCATCTGATCTAAAACCAACACTCCCTTTGTCCCATCATAGGCGGATCCAGGATTTGAACTTTATGGGTTAGAGTTTGGGATTCTACCACAGCTTATTTGATTACTGGGTTCGAAAACAATCTTTTTTTCACTCATTTAGTGAACTTTTTAATACATATACATGGTATGAGTCAGAGCTACGGGGTTAGTATGAACCCGTAAATATTACTCTACATCCTCCTCGGCATCCCCATATTGTATGAGTTGTTTGACAGGAAATGGGGTTTTAAGATGTTAACTAATTGCTATATTAGTTGTAATGGAGTAAAATATTATAGTACTTATAACTAAAAGTTAGCTTAATGGAACATTATCTGAAAGTTTGGGACGTCATATAATTGGGATGGAGGGAGTAGTATGTTTTTGTGATAAATATAAAGGGCTGATTTTTTTTTGTAGATTTTGAAAGACGATGCCACGAGGGAACAATATGATTATGCACTTGCCCATCCAGAGGAGGTTAGTTTCCATTTAGATATTGCTTGCATAAACAATTATTCATAGAATTACGATGAGGATTCCTGGTGGTTCAATTTTTATGTCTTCGACTATCTTGGGAAATTGTATTAGACTTCTCAATTAACAGATGATAGTCAGGTCGCATACTAATGTCTTTTGTTCGTGCTTTTGAATTTTCAGTTTTTCTACAATACGGCACGGTATTACCATGCTTACTATGGTCACAAAACTGTGAGAGCCTTTTCCTATTTCCTGCCAGATATTTATTTTCCTTTGTCCATAACACTTCATATGGGTGAAACTTTGAGCTTGAGATTTCATTGATACATGTTAAGTTGATTCTATGCTCACTGAGCTGTTTGTGTTTTAAATTGTAGGATCCCCGTGCTGTCCTCATTGGTCTTCTTCTGATACTCTCATCATTTCAGTATCTGAATCAGTGGACAAGATATAATCAGGTAAAGTAACAATACACATTCATTGCTAGGATTTCTTTCAACTTGCTACCTGCATCAGCAATCAATGGTTAAAAAAGAGCTTTTTATTCTAGCCTGGAAACTGAAGAATGCTGTCATGACTTTTGTTTTGCTTTGATTTCTTCCATTTATTTTGGCTTTGTGATTTGAAAATTCAAGTGATGACTCAAGTTCAGTTTGATGATCTAAGAGCAACACGATCCTTAGCAATAAAAGAAAACAATAGCTCTATAATGATCGGTGAGATTATATGAGCTATCATTCTGCATAGGTGACTGTGTGCCTTAAGTATTTGTCTGGGTAAACCTAGCTGATATAAAGATACGTCATTTTATGTCTCTATCTTACAAGGTGTGATTAGTTGTTTGAAGATAATTATTGTTTCTTGCCAAATTTGAGTACGATATGCATCTTTAGATGATTTATGCTTGTGATTAGTAATCAATAGCTGAAATACAACATCGTTGGGCCAGTTCTGGCCTCTAGCCAATGTTACTCTTATCATTCTGTTCTGTTTCACCTATTATCGTAGGATAAGAACACGATTCACCAGAACTGAAAGCTGAGCAAATAGGGATTCTTGGGATTGTTCAAGTCTTCTTCTGTGGCTAGAATGTTAGAAAGTAGTGTATTCTGAGGAGTTTAATTAGGACAACTGACAACAACAGAGAGTTGATCCATAAAGAGTTTGGAGAACAAGGAGATATTTGTGGTAATGTGATCCAATAGAATGTTAGAAACAAAGACATTACTAAGAGAGATCTAATTAGTAATTATCATGCCTCTATCCATATTTAGAGAAAATCAATCATATTTTTACTACTTTTACTCTAGCTATTAACCTGTTGCAACCCTCCACCTTTTGTCGGGGCTTGGATCTGGCTCTTCTTTGCAAATCTTAAATAGGTAAAGTTAACAACATTGACTGTGCCTATTCCCGAAAATTTAAGAGGGAGAAGGATGAGATTCTGTGAATTCACACTAAATGCCCTTGATCTAAGGCTGCCAAAAACGCTATAGAAGCAACTAAAGCTTCAGCAAGTTGGACCACGATTCTCACAAAACTCTCCCCTATTCCGAATGAGCATCTGAAGATACAGTAGCTTCCAATTACCTATAGAAATAGACTGATGTGAGGCAGCTATCTATTTCTTAAATTCTAAGGCGAGTAGAAGACCACTTTTTTGCGATTTTACTATTTAAATAATAGATCACCAAGATATGCCCCAAAATTCGACAGCAAATCATAAAGCATAAATCTTCATAACATGGTCTATAGCATGGCCCACGGTTTTCTACATATTCCTTTCTCACTTTTCGGCTACCTAGTTTGACTTGCAATGGAAATGATCTTGGGTGAGTATTTATTTATTTTATTTTATTGGGGGGGGGG